GAAAACAGTTTAAAGTGCCCATTTTTTAATTTGTTTATAACTATCGCATTTATTGTTAAAATTTTATAAAACCTATGACAAGTTGAGGGTTTTGTCATACTATAAAAGTGTGCCAAAAGTGGGCGCTGTAGGTGCAATAGTTTTCGCACAATTCTATTTGTTTATAGCGGAGGCTCCAAAAGTTATGAACTTTAAGCCTCTGTATAGGCGTTAATTTTCAATCAAACATGATTCCGAAAGCGTCATTGTAATCTTAAAGACGCAATTAAGCGACCTATTAAAAAATATCACCGGTGTTTTGACATTAACATTCTCAAATTGTGCATTAAAAAAACGTGCGTTATTCGCTTATAGACAATTTGAATAACATTGTTGCTATTTATGCTACCTCACCGAAAATAGATGCAATGGATAGCTGGCAAAAAAATACAGTTTTAAGATAAAAAAAAAGTACCCTCTACGACCTACAGCAGCCAAGATAATAATTTTTTTTTAAATCGTAGCGCAATTGTTTATAAATATTAAGACTTGAATTTTTCGCAAAATTAAGTTTACGACGTAAACTACGACATCCCGTGAATTGCATTGAAAAATGTGCAAAATTAACGACTCACGAGCCCTTTAAAGAGAAGGTACTCGCTAAATAAACTGTCCGGCGGCCGGCGGCGTGGTGATGGGGGAAGCTCGTCCAAGCGGTCGCGCGGGCGAGAAAAGTTAAATCCAAAGTGCAAATAACTGCGCGCTGTAAATTTTGCAATATCTCGACTTCTATTCATCCTAGAAACTTATTTTGTTTTACACTGGGGTAGCTCGACGAAAAAATAACAATGGGCATATTTACGAATTCGTAGAATAGCCCTGAACCCCAGAAAAAATGCATTTTTCATAATTATTTTTTTTAATTTACAAAAAGGTCACAAAAATTTTTATTAAACGAAATATTAATTAAAATTTCAATTTCGGAATTATTTTACTATTATTAAATAAATAAATGAATCTATCGTTACTTTAAAAAGTTATTTTTTTAATATTAAGGCAAAGTAAACTTGTTTTTCAATATTTTGTTAGTTATTTAATTACGATTTAAATGTAAAATTAAAGTAAAAATTCACAAATTATTTTCAAATTATTATTTATTGTTAAAAGATTTTAAAAAGAATTTGAATTTATTGCAAAATTCTCAAAATTAAAAAATGTTTTTAATAATGCAGTCGATAAAATTACAATTTTAACTTAAATTTAAAATTTTTTCTATTTTTATGAGAAATATAATTTGAAAATAATTTATGAATTTTTACTTTAATTTTACATTTAAATCGTAGTTAAATAGCTAACAAAATATTTAAGTCTTAATATTTATAAACAATTGCCCTACGATTTAAAATAAAAATTCTTATCTTGGCTCCTGTCGGTCGTAGAGGGTACTTTTTTTACTTTAAAACTGTATTTTTTTGCCAGATATCGATTGCATCTATTTTCGGTGAGGTAGCATAAACAGCAACAATTTTATTCAAATTGTTAAAAATTTAATGTTATACTAGCGAATCCGACAAACGTTGTCCTGTTCAAACGTTAAATTAATTAAAAAAACATCTATCGAATCGAATTGTGAATCTAAATCATTCTCGAATCCACTTGAACACACACAAAAAATTTCATCAAATTTGTCCAGTCGTTTATAGGAGGAGTTCAGTGCACAGAAGAATTATAGATATAAAGATAAGACAACACTTCCAGATGTCTTAATTTCCTGGGTTTTTTTATTGCCTCGAACATCTACTGATCCTCATTTATTTTTAACATTTATCTGTACTTGGGAGATAATTTAATAATAATAATAATATCTAATAATAATATTAATAATGATAATAAAAACAAGAGCATATAAATTAACTAGATATTGACACAAAGGTTATAATAAACTACTATTTTCAACAACTTTTTTATGAATCAAATCGTCACCTTTTCACAATGTAAATACCAAACACACACCTAAGTTGAACATCCTAATTGGCAACAGTGTATCGTCGTGGTCACAGCCTCAGCGGTGCGGTGTTTAAAATTTCTCCTAACTTGAAAAGCTTATAAAATTGTTTCGATTTTAATTTTCATG